CCCCCCCACTTCACCTAAAGACCATATTGCAGGACCCCAACCTGCAATGCTCCTCATGGAGGTGCCCACATTGGCACTCAAATAAGGCAACTGCAGACTTTCTCCAGAGACCACAGATTTTAATGCTGTCACCCAGATGTGAAAGCTCCATCCAAAGAATAAAACGGTACCTGGAAATAGCAGTGAGAAGATTGAGGAAACAGGAGCTGTTGCTTCAAACAGCAGTGAGCTAACCATGTGTCATCTAAATGTACTAATGTCTTCCCTGCATCTGCTCTGCTGCCTGCTCCACAGCTCCTCAACTCTGCCAAGGATGAAAGCAGGTAACTTTAGAGCATGGCGTGGTTTTCCATGAAGATTTCTATAGGTGGCTCCAAAGGTGAGGAGGTTCAGCCCACGCTGACTGAGTGCCAAACATGAAGACAGCCAGTACAGAAGAATTAGGATCCAAATTCTTCACTTTTAAAGGTCCGTACGGTTAAACCAAAGGTTTTAGTTAAGCAACATGTTAAGTTCTGCAAATCATAAAAATATCAGGAAGAAAAACAACAGCCAGCCCTCCCTAGCTCTTCCCAGGCCCTTTACCAAGTGTACAAGCTTGCATTAGGTTGTACTCCCTGACAGCCTCATCCTCTTAGAGGCTTTGCTCCTTGTGATCATTGGAGCAATAGATTCTTAAGTGGAAAAAACTTGACCTTGTCTAAGGCTCTGGCAAGAGACCACAATGAGAAACACTTAGGGTTCAGCCTCCCTCTTATCAGGACAGAAATTGTCATGTTGGCTTTGGGGGAAGGAGGGGGAAAAACCATTTGATGCAGGTCCAGAAATAGCCTAACTTTTAAAGCTAGCTCAGTTGTCTACGTGGTAGTCAACAGTCTAAACTACCTTGATACCATTCTTCCGCGGCTTGCCTATAGCTGAAAGGAGCACATGGGTGAATGCAGAGCTTCACCTGCGACACAGGAGACCCAGAGTAAGTAGTCCACTCAACGGAAAGAGCAGATCTCAAATGATTTCTTAGGGGAGGGGAAAATAAGAAGGAAAAGAAAAAAAAGTCTGTGGAGGCTAGAAAACACCTGAAAGTATCATTCAACATCTACAAATCCTACTTTGCCCACAGCGCTTAAAGAGGACAACAGTAATAGTCCCACAGCTTTGCACATACGGAATTTCAAGTGCTTCCATACCCTTTCCAGACTTAAGGTATTTAGAGAAATTGGTTGTCCTCTACTAGCACATAAAGAAGAGGGAGGAAAAAGAACTAATGGATGTACATTAACCTTTTGGTACTAGATTTCCCGATACTAGCTACTAATGCAAAATCCATTAGTAGGAAATGTCTGGGAACCACGGTGTGCTAATGTTATAATGTGCTATAATGCCGCGAATGAGAGTGTAAAAATTTGAAGAAGGCATGGCAGGGGCAGAGACCCATGCAAGGTGGCTGCAAGCATAAGATGATTAAAGAAAGCTGCCTGCTTCTGCTTTGTGCAGTGCTACCACAGAGAAACCCTGGAAAAGGACTTTGAGAGGTTAAGATTTAGAAAATGAGCTTTGCTACTCCTTTTACAGGGCAATTTTGTCGCTTGCCTCGAGGGGCAGAACTTTTAAACGCCTGCATAAACCTCTTCCATTGCCACACAAACCCTTCTCCTCGCCATCTGTCTCATCTTTCGCTGGTCTGCCTGCACCAGCGTGCAAACACGCTGAGCTGATGGAGGCTATCATGAGAGACGAGGCAGCTTTGCCTGCTCAAACAGCTAGATCAAAGTCTTGGGACCCACACTTGCCCTAAAGATAAAAGAAATACCAGGAGCAGCCTGGGCACCATATGAAGCAGGAACTGAAGAGGGGAAGTGACCATGACATTTAAGTTGGTAACAACGTGCTGACACAAAATTGCCTCAAATTTCTTCATTTGAGGATTTCCTCACTTGCTAGACAGTTAGCTTCGAAACTGTATTGCTTAAAAGCGTTTCTCTTCTGGGGAAAGGAAAAGAAAGGGGAAACGACGAGACCAGGAGAAATGAATATTATCACTTAATGCATAAGGGCAGTTTCAACAGTTACCTTAGCGCGCGCTAACTAGGCGTGGGAACAGGCAACGCATCCCCAGGGCCACTACCCTGGTTGCAGGTGCTCAAAAACAACTGAAAACATCTAGCTAGCTGCAAACCTGGTCTGAGTTGACAGCTTTCTATAGATGAGCTCACTGACCTGTCCCTCTTGCACCCACATGCTGTTAGGACCTGGTAGTAGTGGTCAGTAGCCATGGAAAGGAGGCTTTCACATAGGGACTGAGTCTAAACTGAGGCGAAAATAAAAGCAAGGTTATGGGATTTTCCTTGGATTTGCAAAATGTAGGTGGAATGCAACAAGAACATTTTGTAGATCAAATTCTGGTCCTTGTCTCCCTGCACCTCCCCTGTCTGTTGGTGAGAGCATCCTCAACGTCCACAGGGACACCATGGTACCAACTTGCCTTGCTGGCATGACCAGTTTTGTGCTATCCTAGCCCAGGATGCAGGGTAGATCAAACAGCTGAGCACCTACCCAGCTCCTTGCGCCAGTCTAGCGCCCCACAGTGTGCGGTAGAGCAACTCTGTAGCTGGCACGACCTGAACTAGCTAATTACACCCCGCTCTCAAGCCACACAGACATATGCTGCTGCACAGATCGCAGGAGCTTCTAATTTGGTACGCAATTTCTGTTACTCATTATTGAGTCAAGGTCGATTTCATTAAGCAGTTTTTCTAAAAACACAAGCTAATAGTGCATGCAAAGTCTCGGGAGAGTCCATAAAAGGACATCACTGGGAAAAAAAACCATACACTTATTCCAGGCTGTTTCATGGACTTTTTCACCACGGCTTGTTCAACAGGTGCACAGCAAGCCAAAAACCAGGGACCAGAAAACTTGTCCTGTATGTGGATTGATCTGAGGAGAACATCTGTCTCCAATTTTTCAGTTAAGCGAAACTGAGTTTTAATTTAATAAAAACTGTTTGCCTATAACCACAAATAAAATTGTTCAAGGTTGGATGAGTTTAAAACCAGAACCTGGCCCCTATTCAGCAGCACGTTATGACTGCTTTAGAGAGCTCCAGGGCAGAAAATCTTTCCATTTTCACACAGCTGACAAGACTCAAGCGCTAAGAGCAGGA